TATATATATATATATATAGACATTTGAATTTTTTTTATATATATCTAATTATTTTTTACTTTTATGTATTTTTTCCTTTCAGCTATATTTTTAGGTTAAGTTGCACAAGACTGGGACAATGGGCTATAGGATATGTGACTGGTGATGGGAATATTCTGCAGACAATACCTCATAACAAACCATTGTTTCAAGCTCTTATTGATGGCAGTCGAGAAGGATTGTAAGTATGAATATGTGAAATGCATTTTGCCTTATTTTTAAACGTTGATAAACAAGAAATGATTGATTGCGTTTGCTTGTGACCAGTGGGAATATGTTTATTGTGGCTTATTGCAGCTACTTTGGTTATTAGATGGAAAAATGCCATGATGGTGCGTGATGGTATGTTTCTAAATCTTATATCCTAGGCTTGACCCTTATCCATTTCTTAGGGCCTAGGAGAAATACTATAAAGATATTTTATAGAATGCATCTTAAAAGAATGTACAAAAAGTTGCATAACACTTGCGCAGTTTATGAAGAATAGTTCAATCTGTGAAAATGTGTCTGAACCAGGTTTATGTGGAATGTTATCAACCAAAGGGGACCTTTTTCCTCTATATATCATAACTAAATAGGTCTGAGCCAGGAGAAAAATTAATTGCTAAATGAATTGTCGTTATTCTGCTATGTGTAAGCTTTCCTGCCAATCAGCATGTTGTAGTAGGGTAGTTGTAGACACAAAAATGTAGGGTCTCAGCCAATGGACTACATAAAAGCTGTTCTATCCTTGTGAAGAATACATTATTTGGTTTTAATTAGTTATTTTAAGATTACTCATTGTAAAACAATATGTTACTTAAACTAGGGGGGTTATTCACTAAGCTGCCGAATGAATAACTAAGCTGAAGTGAAGTAAGCCAAAGCATGTTTGACTATTCACTGCAGCTGTTTTCGGCTATTTTTAGCCGTACATCGGCTGTATTTGGCTCACTTCACCTCCCTTTAGCTGGGCCGGACAGCCTCTGCACGTCAGGCCGAAGGGAAGAGCTCTTTTGCCTCAGCAGATGCAACATGTGAATGGGCTGAAGCGAACATTCGGCACTTTATTCCCTGCTATTCACTCCTATTCTCATGCCAAACATCAAAAAGTGAATTGCTGAATGCTCGGCTCAACATTCGGTTTGGTCATCCTGTTTACTACCTCAGAGGTATTGAAGCAGAATTAAATATTTAATGTAAACAAATAAAAAAAAAGCGTTGGGGCTAGGTCTGGTAGGAATTTTTAGGTTGACACAAACGCCCCAACCCCCCTAAAACAGTGGGGTCCACCCTAAAATTCCATACCAGACCCTTAATTTAGCAGTAGGAAAGGGGGGGGGGGCTTGCTCTCCCCACCCATGCACCATAACAGGCCACATTCTTCGACATTGAGTGGGTGCTTTTCCAGGGGGGCACCCCCTGGAAAACCACCTTGTCCCCACGTCGATGAGGACAAGGGCCTTTTCCCCACAACTATGGCCCGTTGTTAGGGGGGGTCTGTGGGCAGGGGGCTTATCTGCATCTGGGTGCCCATATGCCACCGCCCACCCCCTTGTGAATGAGTAAGGGGTAGTTTTTACCCCTACTCTGTCACCAAATAGTAAATAAACACACCACACCTTGAAAGTACTTGATTTGAACAAAATACAGATGACCATTTTTGATGAGTCTTTTATTTGTTTAAAAAAAAAAACCCTTCCTGCTCTGCCAGGCCGCTGCTCAGGTTAAGGGTCTGCTATTTTTTGTCTAGTTGACATATTCTCAGACAGGAATTGATGGGAAATCTCTCCAATGAAGAGTAAAAATATATGTTTATAGAATTCATGAAATAATAAATTGCCTTCTTCCTATTTAGGAGATGGCATGTACAATTCGGTTACAATGAAAGTTGTAACAGAAATCTAAGATTTATTTCTGAAATAAGTAGAGGTGCACCGAAAAAGAAATTTAAAAAACGAAACCGAAATAGAAAAAATTGTCAGGCCGAAACTGATACCGAAAATGTTTTTATTTTAATTTTAAAAAATGTTTTAAATATTTTATTTTTATTCATTGTTTATTAAATATTTTTATTTTTTACTTTTTAGGGGCTTCTGGGAAATATCAGGGGTCTAAACAGACCCCTGATATTTCCCTTTTGAAAAAGAGATTGAGAACACAGAGTCCTCAATCTCTTTTACTGCATCCCCTGTTATCAATGAACAGGAATCCTCTGAGTGCTCCTGTTCATTGATAACTTGAGAATATAGTATGTTTACTATAAAAAGAATTATGAATGAACAGGAGGGGTTATAGATCACTCCCATACATTCATAATTGATAGGCGGCCGAGCGGTGTGGGAGGAGAGACAGCGGCCGCTCACAGCGCTCTTGTCCCGCAGCGCTCGGCCGGCTGTCACTTTCTCTCCTCCCCGCTGGGACACAGAGCAGCACCCAGCGGGGAGGAAAGAAATCACGGATGCGCCGATGTATCGGCATGTAAATGGCACTTTCGGCATTTAGCCAAAAGTGCCATTTTCGGCCGATATGTTTCGGCGGCTGATAAATCGGTGCATCCCTAGAAATAAGATGTGTTACTGCCAGATTAAATATAATACATTGTTCCCTGCATCTTTTCAGTAGGTTTTGTACACTCCAAGATAACCTTTTTTGCACAGTAAGGGCTCATTCACTTAAGAACACTGACCTCTGTTTTGCTGTTTTCTAAAGTGAAGGTGAAGTGCACCATAAAATGTCCACACAAACGCATTTGGTTGCCATTTTTGATGTTTTAGTCTATATTCTGCTATTCAGCTCAATTGTATGGGATGTGTTGCAATGTGCTGTGAGATTTGGATCAGAGCTCACATAGTGGTAGTTGACACATTGGTCCGATTTGAGGGCTTCTTGTCTGTGTTTATTTGGCACCAACATATCAAACATGCACAGACATTTCCCTTGCAGGGGTTGGTACCAGCATCACACAGAAGAAAAGACTATCACCTCCGGACCTTTCCTTGCAGCTCTAGCTTCTTGCTTTGGGCCTCGATCTTTTCCAGCACAGGCAGTCCTGTGCTACCACTACAGCACTGACTTACCCATCCACCCAGCCTGACTCCAGGCTCACACCTTTAGTGGGCCAAAACCCAATGGGATTATTTATATTCCTAATCTTGGGCACACTTTCCTTGCCACAGCCAGCCTTCTCATACCACTTGCCTCCTTTCTACAGTGACAGTGCTTCTGTCACAGTATGTAAAATTGTTTTCGTTAAATATTTATTAGAAAAAGTTATAACTGACCAACATCTAAATAAAATTACATATATTTCACCAAAATATGATACGATAATCAAAGAAAATTACTTCACAAAAATAAACGCATATTGCCAAAATCCTAGTACAGAAATCCATGATTCACACAATAAGTCTTAAAGTATTATGTTGTGATTGATGGGAACTCAACAATTATACATATCTCGAGGAAAGTAAAAATAATATTGTACGTAAACAAAAACCAAGAAGAAAATAAAAACCGTAAAAGCAACAGAAAAAGAACAAATAACCTTAAAAGTTAAAAGCCATAAGGAGTAGCAAATTATATACCCAGATAATGTAAAGAAATGTCAAAGTAAAACATAATAGGGATATGGTGGTCTTAGTATCCCAATATGTCCCTAAATATCACTGAGGAGTGGAATAGGGTCCAACCTCCCCAAATTCAAAGAAACTGATCGGTCCTATCCATGTCCCCTGCCACCAATCCCTCCATATGCATCAGTTCATTCATAATATCTGACCAAGCAGCAAGCAAAGGAAAGTGGACCGAATATTTTTACAAACTGCTATGGGTAGTGAAATATTTTTTTTTTGAAAAAGCAGACTTTGTGGTGTTTTTAAAATGACTGCAGGTGAGTGGAATGCAAGAAGGACCAATGAACCCTGTCAAAGGCCTTCTCCGAGTCCACTGAAAGAATGCAGAGGGGCACAGAATGAAGCTTAGCAAAAGAAATTCGATTAATAGTACGAATAGTGTTGTCCTTGGCGTGCATTCCTGATACAAGCCCTCTTTGGTCTGGATGGATAGCTATAGAAAGAAGAGGATGCAATGTTGAAACCAATATTTTGGCGAAGAGCTTAACGTCCACATTAATTAAATAAATCAGTCGAACACCCCCACAATTTGTTAAATCCTTGCCTGGCTTGGGAAGAACTGTGATATTGCCTGGGTAGGGAATGGAGTCCATTCTCATTATACCCAGGTATAAACTCTATTATTAATTTATAAAAACATATAGAGAATTGCTATCTATAATGAAACAGTCCAGTATACTGGAACAGATTATATATTCATTTGCTTGGTAGCAGAAAAACTTATTATAAAAATATATATAATGTTACCGTTCCTGGTTGCACGTAACAGAAAAGAATATCCCCAACGATGTCTGATATCGTGCTTTAAGGATCTCAATCAGAGGCTTCACAGCCCTGCGAAGTAGGAGTGTCTGTCTAGATAAGTCCAATAACATAAGAATTTCCACTCCTTCGAATGGCAAAGTAGGTTTTGAGCATGTCGCTGCCATGATGGCATCCTTCTCAAAGAAGTAATGTATGCAGCATATAATGTCCTGTGGCTGGTAAGGGTCGGCATTTCTTAGGACCTAGTACTTTGTAGGCTCTGTCCAAAACAGTCATAAAATCTGCAGGCTTCCCCAATAGGCCATTTAAAGATGGAAGGTAATGCAGGGATAATGTGAGAAGTGTCCACATATTGCGAAATACCTCTGACCCAAATATTTTTTTGGCGATTTACAGTTCTCAATATCATTAACAAGTAGTGACAATTTGCATAAGTGCTCATTCAGAACTATTTTGTGAGTGTCTTAATCGAGCATACAAAGATTCAATAGACTGTTCAGATCCACTCACCCTGGTGCCCATCTAATGTAATTCTGCTTTAAGAGTGTGTAGCACTTTCCTATGAGACTCCTCTAAGCGAGCCACATATGTCTCCATATTACGGCGGGTTAGTCTTTAATATATGCCCTGAGATCCCAGTCATCATCTGTTGGCAGAGAGGGAATCTGCCAGGAGAAGGAGCCCTGTAGTTCTGGGAGAGGTTGCAGTCTCTCGGGAGTACCCCCTATGGAGGATGGGGCAGAATGAGGTAAATATCTAAGATATGGCCGGTGCCATATTAGCCATCTCTGCAGCCTCTAGTGCTGTTATGTCAAGCGGATGTGACGGGAAATATGAGCCGATCTTGCCCGTCTCAGCCCTGAAAGCAGGTGTCCCGCCTCTGGAGGCTGGTGTAGATGTGGGTCGCTGCTTCTTTTTACCCATCTTGGGGCATATGAGGGGATCTAGTCTCGGGTGCTCACTGTGCCATAATCAAGCCACGCCCCCCAAAGTATGTAAAGTTAATCTGAATGTGTATGTATAAACATTTTGTTGTTGCACATTCATGTAAATGTAGCATTATACAATGTATTGACCAATATTTATGTTCTCTGTGCAATCATTATTCATAGTTTTCTGAATTACAACAAAACTGTTCTATTTTTTATGTTTTGGGCTCACTTGATGTTCATGTGATTCCCTTGCTTCTGCTATTAAAAATACCATCTTTTCCTACCACCCCAGACTTGCCTCTCTACATGAATGGGGTCTCCTGGAGTCTGACCAGCTGCTGCCTCATTGTCATCTTCCAGCTGAGGGCAGGTTCGGTGTCAGGTTAAGGTGCTGATTGGATGCTTTGGCCTAAGCAGACAGTGCCTCTGTCTCAAATATAAACTTATTTGGCTGCCTTGGGGTAGAGAGAAGTGTTTTGGGGGTTTCATTGCCATTTAATGGTAGCATGGGGGACAAAAAACCTAAAGTAAATTTTTTTTTTAGTTTAGCTCTCCTTTAACCCTTTCGCTGACCAGGCTTTTTTTGTGCACATGTAATACACAATTTATAAAATATAAAAGATGAGGTTGTGCTGAGTGAGACACCCAACATGCCGAGCTTAAAAATTGCTTGCGTCAGTGAAACGGCAACAAAATACAATATCACAAATTATCCATAGGAAAGACTACGGGTGGGGGGACTCATTTGCCGGCCCGTGGAAGTGATGATCTGGCAGCAGCTAAGCCGCCAGAATCGCTTCCAGTGTAAAGCCGTCAGTTGGTTTTACATGGGTAATCAGCCGTCAGGAGTCTGTTTACATGGGCCTGAAGCCAGCGCTGTAAGGGATACATCGCTGGCAGGGTAAGGGTTAAAGTACACCAGGGGAAATGTGCATGCATTTCAGAGATGCTCTACATGTTTTTTAGATTGTCATTGGAAAGAATATACAATACAAACTGCGCAAAGGTTTTTTTCTCTTTTTTTTTTATCATGAAAGAGATAAAAATGTTGAATTTTGTAACAATATACAAAAATGCTTGGATGGGTTCCTATGTTTATACAATATACAGGGCTGTAGGAATTATCACACACACACAATATAGGTTAAACCTAACGGACCTGTGTCTTCAATCAACCTCACCTACTATGTAACAATGTGGGAATTTTTTTTGTTCATATGTGCTAGATCCCAGAACTATAGCAACTTGTGATTTGACTCAATGATGAAAATGAGAGCAAATCGAAAATATTGAACATGTCAATATCAAGTGAAATGAGTGAGACACTCCGGTTGCAAACACTAAATTAGAATGGCTCTACATGCTTATATTGTCTTAAGTAGTGTAACCAAGCACTTCAGGATGACAAGTGTTACAGCCAAATGTATGAACACTTAGGAAGATGGGATAATTTAGGCCTGTCAGCTGGAGAGTACAAGTAGGGTATTCCTGCTGTTAAGGATTGTGTTTTACTTGAGGACTTGTACTTAACAAATGCTCCAGTTGAATAAATTCTAAAACCTCATAGGTGTTACAGTTGAGCTGGCACCTCTTGCAATATTTTGGCTTGTGTAGGGGGGTTACAGTTAGAATGATTATATGTGCCTGATTGAGGATGGTTCCATTTTCTCCCACAGAGAAAATAACATTGCTTTAATGCATGCTACAAACCGAGGTGTTGCAGAGTTTGTTGTTTTGAATCAATAAGGAGGGCATAGATGAACAATTTACAAACTTAAATTATTTTGGATAGGTTTACTTTTATTTGTTTTTAGCATTTTTATTGCACACACTCACAGCTTAGAAACAAGATTCTGGTAGCAGAATTAGTTCTTATTGTTTCAGAAAGGTTGAAAGTGATCCGTGACATGAAATTGTGAGCCACTGTCGGGGCTGCGGCAAGAAAAGGGGACAGGAGGGGCAGGTGTGGATGCGCAATGTAAATGCAGAGCCCAAATAAAATGTATTGCTACTTCGCCGTCAATGCATTTATTGTTCCAGTTGAAAATAGGTATATAGAGCCTAAGAGTTTCAGCATTGCCATTTCTGCTCCCTGCCACGCTGCTAGTTCTTGTACATCCCCCTCGCCACTACTTACCCTTAGCTAACCAGTACTTCCTTCACAATTTTCTTACTCCACCAGTTGGAAGTGATTGCAATCCATGCCCTGTTCAGAGGTACGTTTTGGTGGGGAGGCACAAGGCCAGTAGTGGGCAAACTCTAGCCCTCCATCTGTTGTGGAACTACAAATCCCATGAGGCATTGCATGGTTCTCAGAGCCACAGGTATGATTCCCAGAGACAAATGCATGACGGGATTTGTAGTTGGAGGACTGGAGTTTGCCCACCTCTGCACTAGGCCCTCTCTTTAAAACCGTGAAGACCACTTCCAGCTTTCTAAATCTCCTGAGCTATGGTGGTCTTTGAATGTGGGAGACTGTGCTGGTTGAGATAAATGTACATTGTGGTTGCTATTCAACAAACAACATTTTTATCCCTTATTATGGACAAGTTACTGCTGTAACAAATTCAGCCTAAAAGGCACCTGACTTAAAGGTGCACTCCAGTCAGGCTGAGAAATACAACTTATCAACTTATATAATAAGATATATATACTTTTAATAGTTTAATATTTTTTATATATTTGCCTGCATTGTATGTCTGAAGTATCTGCCCAGCAGGAATGCAGGTTTGCCATTGGGTGCAGGCAGACGACTGTTAAAGTGACCCTGTCATTTTTTTGCAGACTTTACAACAGAATAAAGCTGGCCATAAATTATGCGAACTTCGGACGTAACTTCAGGAAACGGCTAAAATTTGCACAGTGGGTGCCGCTGTCTGTACCCTTCTAGATGGTATTCCTTGATCAACTGATTGAAGGAGCCCATTGGAAAATCTTCGAATGAACGGTGGTGGCAGCCAATAAGCTGCCAGCACCATTTGTATATTCTGACAGAGGCCGCAGTAAGCGTGGATGAAGGAATTTTTTCGTTCAGCCTGCTGCTTGAATGAAAAAAAATAGAACAGTGTATGGCCAGCGTAAATGAAAGAGGAATACTCACCTTTTTGTGGTGGGTGGCAAGGGAAATGTTCCCTCTCCATGGGCTATGGTCATTGCTGCTACTAGACCCTTCCAGGTGTGGCAGATATTGTGCACTCTGTAGGTCTTCCTGCTGAACCCTATATCATTACTGTGTCCTATAGAGGTTAATCGACTGGCAGCAGGAACCACAACATGCGGTGAGGGACACGCCATCGGGCACACACAGAAATGTCAGATAGCAAAGGCTCCTGTATTTCTTTTAGATGATTTGACTTGCCACATACTGGACAGGTCAGACTTTGCCTAACGAAGAGATCCTGCGAGGTTCTAAAACATTGCTATTTCACTGTGTGCTGCAAGAATGTCAAATATGATATTCTGAAGCTGAAAGATGTGTGGACAACATGTCTTTTATCTGGTGTGTCTATATGGGACTAATTGCGTCTTTGCAGACATTTTCCTGGTTGTGTTGTCTCTCCTGATATGTTTATGGTTATGTTAGTAGTCCTGGATGTAGGGGAGCAGGAAGGGCAGCTGTGAGTGAATTCTGTTTTGATCTATTCAAACCTATTTTATTTAAAAATGTTTAAAATATTTTCTTGTCTTAAAGTGTCTCCAAACATAAAGCATATGTGATTATAAATAATGAGACCCATAGATAAAACAATGCATCTATTATGCTTATGTAAAAACAAAGAGCCTCTTGTTCCTTGTTAGTAATAAGTGGAATTTTAGATGTGTAAAAAGAACGTTACCTCTGTTCAGTTGTAGTAAATGCCGGATTGCTACACAGTACTTTAAAGTCAATACTTTTCTCTCTGCCAAATAGTACAACTCCCGTTACTTCTGCCTGCTCTGGATATGTTGGCAG